TTAGGTGCTTAGACCTGACAGCTGGTATCAGGTCGGCTCTGCTTCTTTTCGTTTTTCCGTAAGGGAAAAAACAGGAAAAGCTCAACCCAATATCGGGCGTATCTCTTCAGGCCCGCTTCTTTTGTTTCTTCTTATGGAAAAAACAGGATAAAACTCATTTAACTGAGTTCACTATAAAATCCACTTTATAGTCCCTGTTCTATATAGTGATTGAGAGATTTAGGGGTTAGGGGGGACGTTCGGGCACAGTAAGTTTGTATGAGCTATGAGAACAGCCACTTTAAACAGTTTGCACAAGGACAAATGGGCTTGTGCATGCTCTCGCATATCAATTCATTTTAAAGTGGAGAGAGCGGGTCTTTTAAAAAATGTGCAAAAATCCTTCACAACACCTTTAAGCAGATGATCCTCAAGCCTGTTGTCATGTCAACAAAGAAGAAAGGAGAACACATATAGTTAGAGTAAAAGCTGTACCCATAGCTATGTCTAGGACAGAAGTGGCACTAAGCACTGGAAAAAAGGTCAAAATTAAGTTAAGATCTGCTGAACTTTTCCTGAATTAAACATGAAAACCTCTTAAAGATTCAATCAGATCAATAAGGTTTCATTTGGATTTTGTGTTCTTCATGCTGAGAACATCAGAGCTGCTGTTTGCTCACTGAGATCTTCATGGGCAAGATTTTTACTTTACCCAGAGTGTAGAAGAATGGAAACATCTTGTCAGTGAAGGTGTGTGTGAAGGTGTGTATGTGTGTGTTAGTGTCCAGATCAGAGAAGGACAGCTTTCCTCTGTCCCAGTCCAGATTCACTCTGATCCTCTGGAGCTTCTTCTTAATTGAGAGACGTTTGAAAGGAGATGATGAAGACCGTGCTGAGTATTCACCTTCATAGAACCATATAACCAAATATCCAGACTCTATGTCTCCCTTCCTCTGAACAGACTCCTCTAACACACCAAGGAACCAGTATTCACTGTCTCCAACATCAACATCCCAGCTGTGGTTCCCTGAGTTAAAGCCCTCAGAACTCAGGACAGACCAGGGCCGATACCCAACTCTCTCTGGATTATCAGGAAGCTTCTGTTTCTCTCCTTTAGTCCCACTGGTCAGATCTTCAGACAGGATGAGTCTTGAATCAGCAGTGTTTGGGTCCAGGATGAGAGGAGTGTAGGACACCATGTTCTTCATGTTGCTCCAGATGTTGAAGGCCAGGTTGCCCAGATGTTTGGCCTGGTCTATCAGAGCTCCTGAGGGCAGCTGTGGATCCTCCAGCAGGGGGCAGCGCTGGACTCTTTCCACTGCAGCCTTGTAGTTGTGCAGGAATGAGACGTCTTCAGCTCTCAGCTCCTCCTCTGTGGCTCTGACTGTGTCTGAAAGAGCTGCTATCTCTCTGCTCAGAGCCTCCATCTTCACCTTCATCACCCCACTCTTCTGCTCCTCTTCCTCCCTCAGTGCAGCCAGCCTGGCCTCCTCTTCCTCTGCTAGAAACTGATGAAGCTTCTTAAACTGCTCCTTAATCAGCCTCTCTGTGTGTCGGGCCTGGACCTTCATGTGTTCTACTGTCTGATCAAACTCCTCTTGAACTTTCTTCCTGAGCTTCAGCTTCTCCTTCAAAGATTCCAGAGTTTCCCTAAGTTTCTTCTTGTGTTGCTGAGCAGCTTCATCGATGGGTCTGAATCTGTGCTCGGTGTGTTTTTCTGAGTCTTTGCAGACGAGACAAACTGGCTGCTGATGGTCCAGACAGAAGAGTCTGAGTTTCTCAGAGTGCAGCCTGCAGCGATCCTCTCTCTGCTGTAAGAAGGTCTCATACAGGTTCTTCAGAACATCCATCCTTGAAAATATCCTTTTACAAACTGGACACTCTTTTACTGGTTTCTCTCTCCACCAGTTCTTCAGACACTACTTACAGAAGGTGTGGCTACATGACAGAAGAACTGTTCCTCATATAAGCTGGAAGCCATTTAGTCTCTGAGTGAAGCTGAAAACACAGAAGGTCCAGTCAGTCATGGCTCCCCTCCCTCCTCTACTAACTTCCCTCAAAGTGACTCTGAGTGGTGTTCTTGGTCCAACTCACCTTCAGTGTGTGGAGTGTGAGCAGCTTGAAGCAGCAGTGTTGGAGGCTTTCCACTTATCTCTCCTGCAGCTGGATTCACTCAGATTAAGCTGCTAGTCCGGTCT